TCAAGTTGATAGTTTTTATTATTGAGTGGGGGTGTTATGGGGGTTATAACGGATTTAATTGAAAGATAGATAGTAAATAATAGTTATATAGCCCCTAACAATGTTATACCCATAATAGACATGCGGTTTGTCCAACAACATAACACTGAAAGACTAACAATGTTGATCAGGAAAAGAATCGTACATGTTTAGTTGTTTGGTTGAAAACTATAAATAAAAATGTTGATGTAGCTCTTATAACTCATGAAATCAAAATCTTTTAGTTGTCTAGCTTGTTTTATTTCTTAAAGAATTGTACATGTTTGGTTTTTTGGTTGAAAACTATAAAAATATTGATGTAGCTCTTATAACTCATGAAATCAAAATCTTTTAGGTGTCTAGCTTGTTTTGTTTCATAAAATCTTTTATTGCACAAACTTTAGTCTTTGTATTTGATCGCACTAGTTGCTGGTTTAAAATAGTAGGATAAGTACTAGTTTAGATGTTTGTTTCAAAATAGACATATCTAACTATAATAAATAATTGTTATACTGTAGTTTATATCAAACATAAAATTTATCTAACTATAGTAAAGAATAGTTGTACTATAGTATAAATGAGTTAATTAATATGATGTGATTTAATAAGATTGGTGGTCATAAGAAGAATTTGAAGGGTTATGTTTATATATGTATGTATCTATTTGATCTGAAGGAGTATGGTTTATAAATTGCATATGTGTTTTATGTAGGCATGTGTGCGTTTTATGGATGCTTGAATGTCTTTTGGAGGGCATTTTAGGAAGAAAATGTTTTAACATCCTACACACTTTTATAATAATATAAGATAAGATAAATATTCCTGTGATATTTTATATAAATATTCTTGTGATATTTTATTTCGTGGAATCCTAATATCCAACTTCACTGATTCTTGCCCTGAATTTGAATTAGGATAGTTTTCTTTGACTGCCTAGTATTACAAGTCCTCGACCTGTTAGCAATTACAATAAATTACAGTTGAATTTTCAGAAGTATGTAACATTGGTTGTTAGGTTATATAATTATTGTAACCTGGTAGTTCTGGTGCACAAAGATTTTGAGGTTATATAGTAATAGTGACCTGAAGTTTATATGGAACACTGCTAACTGTGAAGGTTCATACTTTCAATTTTGTTTTCACCTTAATTATTTCTGTTCTTTTGTTCAGTGATCAGGATGATTATGAAGTTGTTCGTAAAGTAGGACGAGGGAAGTACAGCGAGGTTTTTGAAGGCATCAACACAACAACAAACGATCGTTGCATCATCAAAATACTTAAGCCTGTTAAGAAAAAGAAGGTATTTACATGCTACTCTGAAAAGGTTACATTTTACGATCCAGTTTTCATCCACTGGATAATTCTGAGTGCTGACATGTAGCATGACAGATTAAAATGCCTGTTTGCTGATTATGCCCTGCAGAGCAACGACGTAAATTTGCCTAGATAGAAGGGTTATTTCGATTTTTTAAATCTGATTTATTAAGAATTTTCTTTGAACAAAAAGAAAGACAATAGTAGTAAAAGTGAAAGAGACGTGAAGGTTGAGTATAGCAAATAGTAAATAAGTGACTGAAAAAATTTGAAAGAGTAGGCATGTTTCTATTTTCTGTTGGGGCTATTGACCGACAAGAATTTTCAATTCTTCTCTCTGCAGATAAAGAGGGAGATTAAGATACTTCAGAACCTCTGTGGCGGTCCCAATATTGTGAAGCTTTTTGATATTGTCAGAGATCAGCATTCAAAAACCCCAAGCTTGATATTTGAATATGTAAACAGCACAGATTTCAAAATCTTATACCCAACTCTGACGGACTATGATATACGCTATTACATCTATGAACTTCTCAAGGTACATTACTTGATATATGTAATTCTTTTTAACATGTGTTTTTCATATTCTTCATATCGGTAACTTTGGAACATGAATACACGAGAATAACAACAGCCTTGAAATGTAAATAGACATTAGCAAACCAAGAAAAACTTATAATTTGCACAAACTGTCAGATGTATGAGGGAATTATCTTCAGTACCAGGAGAAATTACCCAAGTATGTAGCTTCTGTATGTTTTGCCATCACAAGTGATTTATAGCTGCTGAATGTTGTTAGTACTAGGAATTATATTTTAACTGGCCTCAATAGATCTAGTGATTGCCAAAGGCGTATCTATGGGTCAAGACTTCACTTTGAAAAAGGCTGAATTCTTAAAATGAACTATTTTTTAGAGTTCAGCAAAAAAGTATATATCTACGTTGAGTAATTTGACTAACACATTATGTTAATTAGAGTTTTTTTTGAGGGCATTACCTTAGTGCACTCGAGAAGGAATCCGTTTAACTTTGATATTTATTAAATAATAACATATCACATAATTCTTGGCAGGTCTAGTTATTTATCATAATATATCAAGGCTCTTGGTAAACTAACATCTCAACCAATGTTTTAAATATCGGATATCAGGGAAATATCGGATGGCCAAAATTCATATCGGAATGCGGATATCAAGGAAATATCGGGGATATGTGGTAAATATCGGAATGTCATAACTGATGTTTGCATATATATTATAATGCACTAAAATATAATCTTGACATATGTAATGAAATCTAAGCATATAAAATGTGAATAATATATGCTTAGGATCACTAATCAACCTTGTAAAATAAACAAAAGTACAAATCAACTTTGCAACATTTGGTCAAATTTTTTAGGGTAAAATGTCATTTTATATAATGAGAAAATCATGATATCTTGTCTAAAAATTGTCAAACATAGTATAGTGTTTTGTGACAAGCCATATAAAAAGATATATCGGTCTACATATCGGCTGATGGCCATATCAGGGGATATAACGCCCAAAATAACCAAAAAGCAGTAAAGGATATTTAGAGACCATATCGGTTGCGGCAAGCCCTGTAAAAGGATATATTGGAGGATATATCAGACCATGTCGGGGATATTTAAAACAATGATCTCAACAGTCAACCGCATTCATTCTTGTTTTATGAAAAATAAGCAATTTGGATTCATCATATATTATTCTTTGACCCTAACTAGGTAGAATCAAACCTTATTTTTGAGTGAATCTGGGCAGTTCAGTGTCAATCTAAGATCTAACACAAGTGGTAATTGGTAAGATTGTCTTGGTCCAAAATTAAATATGGAATTTGGGGTTAGTCGGGATGCAAACAGATAGGGTATGTATTGGATATGACATTTACCTGCTCATATCCTAATTGAATATACATATGGACATGTATATGGTTTTGAAGAAAAAATTCATCTACACTCGCCAAGGTTTTAAATATCGAATGTTGGGGAAATATTTGATGGCCAAAATCCATATTAGATGCGGAAATCGGAGTTATGTAGTAAATACTAGGGTGCCATATCGGATGATGCACATATATAATATAATGTCCTAAAATGTAATATGAATATCCTTAATGAAATTGAACCATACAAAAATGTAAATAATATATGCTTAGGATCACTAACCAATTGTAAAAACTCACTTTGGGAAAACAACAGTCTAGAATCTGCTAACAAATTTCTCAGGGTTGAAATTTTTGCTAAAAACATTCAAATAGTTTTGTTGAACGTATCATATAAAAGAACATATTGGCCAACATAATGCTGGCAATGTCAGGATTATATTGCTCAAAAATTGCCAAAAATCGGTAAAGCATATTGACACTATTGTTTTGTGGCAAGCCTTATAAAGGGATATATCTGACCAATATATCAGCTATATTGGGGATTTATAAAACAATGACACTTGCCAGTAAATTGAATACAAACATATGTTTGATGCAGTGGAGGATATGAATACATATCATGTATGTAGTAAACGTTTAAGACTCAAAAGTATGTAGGTCAGGTGATACAAAAAACTTTCAAAATACAGCAGAATCTCTTAAATCAAAATCCATTAACGTTTGTGCTAATCCAAAATGCTAAAGCTAGATCTTTGGATCACCAAAATAGGCTTTAGGTTCACTAATCTATGGTCAAAGACTCAAAACTAATTTTAGTGGCGCCTTCGAAACAAATTTCTTAATATCTATATGTTTTTATCATTGGTCTTAATCTACATCAGTGATGAGTATCCATATCTGACCGGAAATGGTATTTAATATGCATATTCATATCCAATCAGATTAGAATGTCGCACACGCGCACTCTTTGGGAACTCAATTGGGACTAACAATGAACTGAATAACCATATTCTTAGGTAGATGTGCAAAAACTTTATGGATTTGAGACCAGTTGATGATGTATCTGGACTTGATACCCACTCACTTTCTTACGGAACACAATTGGGACCTCTGTTTTAAAAAACCTCCGCCTAGTCCGCTTAGGCGTACGCCTAGGCTTAGGCGATACCTAGGCCGCCTAACTAGCGCCTAAGCGGTATTTAGGCTGCCCATATAGATTTTACGAGCATTTAGGGGAGTATTGTCTGCTTACGTGGATTGCACCCGGTAGGCCTTGGTTGTGATTTTATGTGCTATAGCCTACACGTCCTTCAAACTTCATTAACCTCCAAATATGAACACATCCACTACCTCCTCCGACCTTCAGCAAAACCTCATCGATCACCATTTAAATGAAGAAAGAAATCCGCCTAGACACCAGTCCGGCATCTAAACTTTCTATAACAGTGACATTCACTATCAATTATTGTAATTAAAAATAAAAAAAGAAAACATCTTAGGCTCTAACCTTGTTAATTATTATTTTGGCTATTTAGTATCTAAGTATGCATGATTTATTATGGAACTAAAATTGCTATATTTTTTTTGAAAATTTATATGAATTTAATACATATTTTTATCAATTATTATAATTAAATAATTTAAAAATAGCCAAACGCCTAGGCGCTGCCTAGGCGTACGCCTAGGGGTCTAGGCGCTAGCCGTTCGCTCAAACGTCTAGTCTGTCTAGCGCCTTTTGTAACATTGCCGAGCTCCCCCGATCTCTGTAACTACTAATAATGTAAATAGTACTTCTTAAATATCTATTTAAGTTAGTTTTTTTAGAAAATATCTATTTAAGTTAGTTAACAACAGTAACTTAAACTTAAGAAGTGTAAGTTAACAGGAAACTTAAGTTTAAGTTAAACTTAAAAGTTTATGCTAACAGTAAACTTAAGTTTAAGTTTAAATTTAAGTTTTTGTTGATGGTAAACTTAAGTTTAAGTAAACAGTAAACTTAAGTTAACAATATTTTAGTTAAGTAAACTAGTTTAAGTTTATTGTTAACTTAAATTTAACAGTAACTTATAAGTTAACAATAATTTGAGTTGAGAATGAGTTTTTCACTGTTGAGATGAACTTATAATTTGAGTTGAGAAGTATAAACATACAAAGAGCTATTGTAATTGGTAAACCAAGCAATTTAGTTAATAGTATTGGTACTTTAGTATTTATGCATCTTTGATTGAGTATATATATATATTTATCTTCAAGTATCACAATTAAAAAAGAAAAAAGAAAAAAAAACGCCTAGAAACCGCTTAGGCGCCCGTCTAGACGACTAAACGCTGGGCGCCAAGTCCGACGCCTAGATACGCCCAACGTTTAATGTAACATTGATTGGGACTCACCATGAACTGAATAACTATATTCATAGGTAGACGTGCAAAAACTATATGGTTTTGAGACCAGTTCATGATGTACGTGGACTCGATAACCAGGCTCAAGTCTCAACAATCCTGGTTACTGCAAAACATAGTTGTATGCCCCATCGTAAAAGTTTTCTTGACATACTTGGTCATCGTAACTCGTGAGAACTCGGAGAGTTACTTGGTAGTGAGATTGGTGCCTCTATGCGGTTGTCATGATCTATAACTAAAGAAAACTGAATTGGGACTAACCATGAACTCAATAACTATATTCATAGGTAGATGTGCAAAAACTGTATGGATTTGAGACCAGTTTGTGACGTACCTGGACTTGATACCCAGGCTTAACAATCCTGGTTACTGCAAAACATAATTGTATGTCCTGTTGTGGAAGTTTTCTTGACATTATTGGTCATCGTAACTCGTAAGAGCTCAGAGTTTCTTGGTAATGAGATAGGCATCTCCATGTGGTTGTCATGATCTATAACTAAAGTCAATGCAATCTGTAAAGATTATGTAGTGCTTTATCTTACTTCTATCTGTTATAGTATGGGATGTCTGTCTCATCTGTAAATTTCTTTTAGCTGAACTTATCATAATATAACTGCACACAGCGCCATGATAGTCTCTTATTGTGGAACCTTGGACGAACTTTTACTGAAGGCTTTGAGTCCTTTTTTCAACTCATTTTTTATTCATATGTAAAGGCTGTAAAATTTAGCATAAATTTGATCAAGTCTCTCGTGATTCATGATTGCTATTGTTGCAGGCACTAGACTACTGCCATTCACAGGGAATTATGCACCGAGATGTCAAACCTCACAATGTCATGATTGATCATGAGCTCAGAAAGCTTAGGTTGATTGATTGGGGACTTGCTGAGTTCTATCATCCTGGCAAGGAATATAATGTTCGTGTGGCTTCAAGGTAATCTTGGTTAGCAGATGCGTTATTGTCTATTGCTGTTGGTCTAATCATTATTATTTATCATACATCCATCACTGATTTTCTGATTTTCAGCAGCTTAAATAAGATAATTCCTTTCATTATGCTTCACCTTTCGAGACGGTACATTTCTGAACTGCTTGGTGTTTGTCATAAAAGCAGAGGATCCATTTACCTCCAATATTGGATTATTTTTAAAGATTTTAGTTGCTACTAATAAAAGGACTCTACCCACTCCTTGGGCACCCAACATTGAAACAAAGTAGTCCAGAAAAGGACTGTAGAAAAGACTGAACGGACAGTGTATGTCATATTGGCATTAGTCATCATCACGTAAGTTTAGATGGTCAAACCCATAAATTACACAAGTAAATGCTTTCTAATGCAACCGATTGACAAGTTCTTTTCATTCTCTTGAGTGATCACGCTTACTTTGTGTCTCAACAAACATGAATGCTTGCTAATCTTATTTAGGCCTGTTTCATCCTCTTGGCATACCAACTAGAGTGTGTCGGTACAACCCACCATTCCCCGAAAAGAAAAAGAAAAAGAAAAAGAAAATAGAAGAAAGATTAAAATAAGGAAATAGTGAAACTCAAAGTTAAATCAGATATTTGTTTTCCGTCCTCATAGCTTGGGTTTTTTGGGAAACAGTTTGAGGACTTTTTTTATTTTACCTGGATATGTGAAAATAGGTCTCATCTGGTTATGCCCCTACTCTATCTTGGTAAATGGACAGCTGATGGATATTATTTGCAGGTATGGAGCATATCTCAAAGTGAATAATTAGAATCCATATTTGAAAGCATATGGACTTTTGATCTTATAAACACTTAGTTGGGGCAAGATAAAAAAACGGAAGAAAATAATTATTTCTATCTCCAAATTCCTTAAAAATCTCCTTCTTTGGTTCTACATAGGTTAGTCATTTAGGATTCATAAATTCTTTTCAGTGGGAATTGTAAGAAGTTTCTATGGTGTTCTTAGAATGAAAAGAATAGGGATATGCTATCTTTATTAGAGGAGATTGGCGTTAATCAACCTTGCACCTTGGTTTCAGCTTAAAAGATTCATTGTAACCTTCTTGGTCTTTTGGATGATGGTAGGAACTACAGATTTTTTTCCAAAAATCCACTGAAGTTTGAGGGATATTTGATTTGAAGATACTGTAATAATATGGCAGGCTTGTATTAATTGTCACCTTGAATGATTTGAAGATCTTGTACAGTGGCAAAGTAGGGGAATGTAGGTATTGATTGTCACCTTGAATGTCCCTGCACTTTGTTTGATGAGTTTCATCATATTATCTCTATTCTGTTTAGTGCCTAATGACTGTGGCTTTCTCTTGTCTTAATGACATCTAACTCTCCACTAGAGATCAATTACTGATCTATTAATGTAGATAAAAGTTGCAAATACTTATGTTTCTTTCTTGAATTCTTTAAAGTTACCTTATGATTACTCGAATGTTTCAGGTTGTTACTGCTTAGTTCTAGAACAAGATTTTCAAACAACCATGTTTCTAGTGGCCTATGTCTAGTAATCATGTTTTAACAATGCATTCTTAGGAGTGACGCTTGCATGATGTTACTCTTGATGGAATTAAATTTAGAATCCCATGTCAGTTCTTCAGGTTTCCTAATAACTTGATTATTTTCATTTGTCATCCATGATTGCGAAATTATTGCAATTCATGATAAAGGGTGTGTATTCTTTTCTTTCATATCTATAATTTCATATGTATATTTTTTTTGCTGCCAGATATTTCAAAGGGCCTGAACTCCTGGTTGATTTGCAAGATTATGACTACTCCTTGGACATGTGGAGTCTTGGTTGCATGTTTGCTGGAATGGTAATGTCTTCCTTATCTAATAAAAGTTGTTTGCTATTTATCTACTTATGTGCCAATTGTATGCATTCTCATTGTTGACTTCTATCACTTATGATGATTTTGGCACGTTCTCTCTTTGTTGCAGATATTTCGCAAGGAACCCTTCTTCTATGGGCATGACAACCATGACCAGCTAGTTAAAATTGCTAAGGTTGGAATCTTATGCTGGTCATTGGGTTTGCACGAAATGATTATTATTATTATTTTGTGATCTTGCTCTTAGGTTCAAGTCTTCTGCAATTCAATTGCATGGTTCTTGGTGCAGGATCATATAAAGAGTGCCTTCTGAGTTAAGAATTTTGCAGTTCTGAGTTGTGTCTAGAATTGGGTTTCAAGTCAAAATTTTGATCTTTTTTACTTGCTTAGATTCTAATTTGAATTAAAATATGACGGGTTGCAATTTACTGATGAGGAAAGGGAGTGGAAAAAGATGCGGTGATCTTGTTATCATCGTACTTACTGTGATTTTGGTATTCCTAATAGGTTGCCATTAGTTATCATACTTGCAGAAAATGGGTTTTCCAGATGGAGTTGAGTTTGTGTTGTACGTCTAGGATTGATTCCTGTTAATTTTCTATTTCACAGGTACTTGGAACCGACGAACTCAATGTTTACCTAAACAAATATCATTTAGAACTTGATCCTCAACTTGAAGCTCAAGTAGGAAGGTAATTATTTTTTGAGGTTAACAATTTTGCCCAAAAGCTTGAATAAGTAATGGACCTGTGTCTCTTGACTTTCATCTCTCTGATGTTTTATTTTCTGCAGGCACAGCAGGAAACCATGGTCTAAATTTATAAATTCAGACAACCAGCATCTTGTCTCACCTGAGGTGCTTTCCTTTCTCCTTCCTTTCAGAGCATTCTGTTACAAATGTAGTTTGTATTCGGTGTTAACCTTCACTAAGGTTGCAGTTGGTAATAGATCATGAGTTTTGTCTTAATATGGCATGCAGGCAATTGATTTTCTTGACAAGCTTCTTCGTTATGATCATCAGGACAGGCTTACAGCAAGGGAAGCAATGGTAATATAATTTATGTTATTTAGTTCTGGAACTTATCCTTTTTATATACAGGTCCCTAGTTCAAATTTTATTTTAATACATAAGGGTTAGCCTTTTTGTGCATGCGTTAGCTTTATCTTATATCTATTGTAAGAGTGTAACGTAGAACTTCTATTTAATGAAGCGACAGCTTAAGTTAATAGCTTCGGCTTCTTGTCGGTTGCGTTTTGTTATTTGGTGTGTGGGGGAGCACTGAGCAGAATTTGATGGCTTCATAGATTAAGGATTTTGGTCTAATTATAAATAGATGTGAAGAATGAGAGATAAATATGCAATATAGGTTTCTAGAGGATATGGATATATACATGCCACCGATGAAAATGGCAGGCATCATGATCATCATTAATGGCCTTGTCGAAAGGGTTCTGTGGTTAAGTGTGGAGTTTGGATAACTCCATATAGAATCAGTCAAGTCATGGTAAATGGTAGTTTGATATATTGTTCTCTGTTAATTGATGAAAACTTCTAGTCCATGCACATGGAAGTTATGGGAGGGAGGGAGGGAGCTAGTGTAATTCCATATGTGAAGTCTATATGTTATCTGTGAAACTGAATACATATTCGCGAATTTTTCTTCTTTTTTCTTGTCAAATAGCTTAGATGAATGAAATTTTAACCTAAAAAATAAAATTTTCCTCTTTTCTGTTTATTTTAACGATCAGCAATAACAATAATTATATTTATACTAGCTATTTCCCGTTAGTTTAATCTAGAGCGAGTCCACAAAAATTCGTGATTTCTTGATATTTAGTATACTTATTTATTTATTTTATCCGAATCAAAGTTTCAAGGGAGGGAGGGAGAAAGGGGCAGGTCTAGGACCTTGGTAAATGTTGCAGTTCTGGAATTATGTAAAGAGTATATACTTCAAATTCTGGAATCGTTGCATGGGTAATCATGAATGCCCAAATATTCTAAAAGTTCCATGAAGGTGATGTTTGCAAGGCATATTAATAGGAATTGGTGAAATCCTTGGAAAAGGGAAATCCTGAAAGGTTGAACCCTTTGTTCTCTAAAAAATTGTCAAGGGCCTCCTACAAGTTTCTTCCTTCTCTGGCTCCTTGTTTAAAGTTTTCAACTATTATTTAATTGCAAATTTCTTGGGAATTGATAATTGATATTTGGGAATTTGTAATCACAGTCCACGTTACAAAGGGAAAATATAGTTATGCTTTCACCATGTAAAAATTATATGCCCCGGGAACATGGTATAAATGGTGGGTGTAAATGGTACAAGTGGTGAGTGTGTCTCCACATTACTCTTGCTTTGTAGAAGTAGAAGGTTAATAAACGTGTTTATCCATTATTACATGAGAGGAACACAAGTAAGCTTCAGTGGGGAAATTTGTTGTGAATAGAGTTGAAGGGTTAATAAGATGGGGCTGGAGCGAGAAATTTGTGACTCTGTATGAAAACAGGATTTATAAATAAGCTTCTTTCAAGTGGTTTTTGTTGTGGCCTTTTTTTTTTTTTCACACAAGTAAGCTTCAGTGGGGAAATTTGTTGTGAATAGAGTTGAAGGGTTAATAAGATGGGGCTGGAGCGAGAAATTTGTGACTCTGTATGAAAACAGGATTTATAAATAAGCTTCTTTCAAGTGGTTTTTGTTGTGGCCTTTTTTTTTTTTTCCTATGGAACTTGCACTAATGAAGAAAAATATTTTATCAGCGAAGGACCACTCAAGTTTAGGATGTTATTAGTGTCGAACAATCAAGATAATATGGTAAAATTGTTGTGCATTGGTTGCAAACTGATCATTGTGCAAATCATGATTGCATAATCCACAAAGTTACAAGGTAGAAATGAAACACCCATCTTCTGTTATGTTTATAATGTAAATTAAATAACTATGATTAGTTCACAAAGTTTTTATGTTGTGCGGCATATAATCATCCTATGTTCTTTCGATGTAAACAATTGTTTCCTTTCGGTATTTGCCTCCTAAGTTCATCTCTAAACCTGTTTCGGTGGGAACATGTAATAATATGAAGCAAAATATCGAAACAGAAAATAGCTAGATGCTTTCTTCAGAAAACTTACCAATACATTAAGCATCTTTAAAGGTAAGCACAACAGTAAGTGTCTCAATTCACTCCCCTTTATGGATGGAAGAAAAATACATCAAATGTGTATGGTATAGTAATATACTAATACAATCTTTTTCACTGGTTTATCTAAACGGTTGCATATACATGAGCAGCCAGATCTAGCTGTATTGTAGGATTCATTGCCTCTCTGATTTGTGTTGGTTCTATATACTTTTTCTTTTTCTTTATTACCAGTGGGAACATTTCTGATTCAATTCAAAGCTGAATCATGGACTGTAAAAATTTCATGCATGCTTTGCACTTCCAGGGCCTATTGGAACATCTTGCATTGTATGAAGCCCAAAAAAATTAAAATAAAATATGCATTGGAACCCAATCCTCAAGTCACCATGTGAAGTTTTTTCAGTCACTAATTAGTTGAATTGATTATGATATGTTATTTGGATTTCTGTTTTGGAATATCTTTTTGTTAAATGAGAACTGTCGATATTGTTAATTTCTCTGATGTCCATCTTGTACTGTGCAGGCTCACCCTTATTTCCTTCAAGTAAGGGCTGCAGAAAACAGTAGGATGCGCGCCCAATAGCAGTAAGTGAAGGAAGAGCATCTAGTAATGAAATGGAAGTGTTGTGATTGTTCTATATTTGATGGTGGATTGTCTCTTCGATTTGGGCACATGTGCTATTAATATATCTGTCAAGACTATTTTCCTGAAACTGGCTTAGCAATCAACAAATGTATGAGAATCACCAGACTGGTCAAAACGTTCTGTTTTCCGTCACTCTTTATCAGATAGCATGGATCCATTTAATTCTCTAACTTGCAAGATCTTCTGGTAGGGGTGGCTGGTGATTTCCGTAGATCATCTGTATCCTTGTAAACTTTTTTCCAATTTTCTTTTCTTTTGCTGTTTTCTTCTATCATATCTTTGGAATCATTTGTGCGCTTGTGTTTTT